CATATTTAACAATAATTATGTTCTTTTAAAATTCATAAATTAAATTTTTCGAGTTTTGTGCTTTATCTAAAAGTTTAGTATTCATAGTTGCGCAGGAACTTGTTTCTGTTTTCCTATGGATAAGTTCAATGGGCTTCAGGCCGATTCCGGCGCATTCATGTTTTCACAAAAGTTTGGCATTTTAGCTCAAAATGTTGGGTCGTTGAAAAAGCTAGCATGTCGTAACGTCTTTGACGGCGACTTTCTATGGAAAGCTCTTAATTATTTATGAGGGTCTATCAAGTTATTCATTACGTGTGATACTAGGAAATATGTAGTCCCACAGACGACCGTTTCTCATGAACTCGAGTTTTGAAACTGAACTCGATCTTCTTGACAATTCTGTGTGTTAACTTTTTTTGCATTTTCAATAAACCTCTGAGAGTATCTAAAAAGCAACTAGGAAAGACGCACTCACCTGTTCTCGCTATCTCAAAAATTTGGAAAAACAGGAGCACAAGTACTAATCAATTTTAGTACTCACTGCATAAGTTCTTAGAAGTATCCTCCAAGGCGCGGAGGATACTTCTAAGTGACTATGTCTCCAATATTCCTGGAAAGCACTATAATAATTCATTTTTCACATACCTAGTCTATGCGTGTTTGAACACGTCTTCGTGAATTTTCGTGAGAATAACAGCAATCTAGATCTGGCTTAGGTGAACGCTAGAAAATTAAACTCTTAAAGTCTCTAATTATTTCAATATGTAGAGGCCAGTCCAATAAAAAAAACTAGAATTAAAACGTTTCGGAGCACATTCCAGTTTTGCTCAGATTTTGTTTTGTGTTGTTGTTTGCGAACTTTGTCTTATTTAAATTGAATGTTAATTTAATGATTTGTCAATCTGATTGATCTCATTTTGAATACTCAAAAGATGGCTAATAATGCTGAATTGCTGTCCCACAAATCTTTCAAATCCTCACTCAAAATCACTTCTTTGTAGGTTTAATGCTGGTAGGTTCGTATCAAATATAAGTTTAGTTAAGTCGCAAATATGCGTTTCATTAAATTCATTTGGTAGTTATAATTTTCTTTTATTAATTGAGTTTGATTTAAAGGCTCATGTGTCAGGATGTTCTTGGACTTAAGGCTTTATGTGTCTATTTAATCGAATCTTGGGTTATCAGTTTTGTATTGTGTTTCCTATGTGAGTCCACAGAATTGAAAATGTCGAAATTAATAAGGCTAATAAATTAATCAAAATATCTATTGTGCTAAGTGGTTAAGTAGGAAAAACACTTGAATAAGCACGAAAGTCCATAAACATAACCATGTAAATGAAGCAAGCGGAAAACAATGCATTGTAATTTAGCTGATTTTGCTATTTTATATGCTACATAGAGCTGAATGATAGCCTTGCCAAGTATCATATGTGATAAAGCAATTTGTCAATCACGTATACTACATACAATATAAGTTTGGTCGCACGTTATCAGAGACGAAATTTGACTACCGACATAAAAGCAATTATGCATGAAATTTGTGTGATAAGTAGAATCGTCTTTGTTATGATTTAGGCATTGGAGAACAAACAATCCTAAAGTGCAAATGAGCTTTAGAATACTACCCAATTTAAAGCGATGTTGATTATTAAAGTTCATCTTTAAAATTAATAGGTTGGTGAAAATTACAATGTTGACGAATCGATTGTAGATTTATCGGAAATTTTTTAAAGACACAAGACGTTTGGGTGTTGCATTTGTCATGTACTTCTCCATGACTTTTGCGTTGACGGTATATTTGTGCTTTTCAATTAAACCATTATTCTATAAAGAATAATCAGCAAATGCCAGACAGCATTGAGATAATTTCATACTCTTTCGAGAATTTAGTTGTAGACCATAATTCGAGACCATAGTTATACATACATTAATACCATAGTTAATTCGAGGGGCTGCAACTGTAATTTTTTACATAAAATTTCAAATATATCAAAAACGAATAGACTTAAGTATAGGATATTATACATGAAATATATTTACAACTTGAAGTGGAATTTAAAAATGTAATAATATATACGGTGCTTCATTTGAAATAAGCAAGTTGATACTTGCTCGCTTCGATATAACCCGAAGTGTGGCCATCTTCGAAATATTTTAGATCGCTTGCCCCCAATGACTTCGACACACTGTTCAATTTTCAAATTTCTGCTAATTATAGTTTGCCAGATTTCGACCGCAGCAGTTCCCGGTGGGACACCCTGTAGCGTACGGAGTATACACGGTGATTCACGGTCGATGGCGTATTAGACGTTTAAAAAGAACGCGCACAAAATTTGTATAACGAAGTCACCGGATTTTCTCTATCGGCCTAAAATATTTTCAACAATGCGAGGTTCCTGCTTATACCAAAACGTACATATAACTTTGCTATTTTAAATGACACACCCTGTATATTATTGGACGGTTGGGTTGGCGATATAGATCTCATTATTTCTTCAAAACGATTTCTATATCGATCTAAAGCGGTTTCCGAAATATTTAATCAAATTCATTATTTTTAATCAAAACGTAGCCCCAAGTAATCTTGTATTACAACGCAATTTCGATCCCTGTAAATTTAAAATTTTGGTACTGGGTTCGGAAAACCCTATGCTTGAGCCCGGCGTACAGCAGTTTGTTCCAAATTATACAGGATGTCTTGAAAATACTGACCTTTCGAATAGAGATAAAAACTGCTCCAATTACATTTTTTCAAATAGAACACCCTGCAAATTAGTTTAATTACGTGAATACCGTTAAAGTAGCTGTGAAACGGTATATCATGTTTCTATACCTAAAGCGTCCAATTTCCGAAATAAACGGACATTCTTACAAAAATTTGATTATGTCGACGTATTTATCAAAATAGCCATGAAATGTCATAATAGTTGAACATTTGAAATTCTTCAAACCAGTTGTCAAGTCAACAAAGTAATAGGGAAAGCTTTTATGCACTTTTTAATGCAGTTTAGACTTAATTGTTCACAAAATGGAGAGCGACCATTCAGTTCAACTTCAATTCAGACTCATAAACAAATTCAAACGAAGTTTTAATGAAACGAAATTAATGTTTATTCTTCATGGACAATGTGACCAAATTGTTGCAGGTCATGCAGAAAATTCAACGAAATGTTTCCAAATTTAAAGTAAATGAATGCAAAGAAGGTTTTGCGAATACAACACAATTTCCTTAATTATGGCACCAATCGGAAAGCTGAACCGAACTTACTAAAACCTGTAACTTCTGATGAAGACAGCATTGTAAATGTTTGAGCGTACTTCCGTGCATGTCTTCAAGCTTCCTTCTATTCGAAGTGCCGCAGATGATTGGTGCTTAGCCTATAGTGCCATTCAAAGGATACTGATCAAGCATGCAATGTATCCTTATAAGTTCACAAAAATGATATTTTCTTTTAGAACTTTATGAAGAATTGCAAAACCTTTAACCATTATGACATTTCATGGCTATTTGGATAAATACGTCGACATAATAGATGTTTTGCAAAAATGTCGATTTATTCGGAAATTTTACACTTTAGGTATAGAAACATGATATGTTGTTTCACACGGAATTTAACGGTCTTTCCGTATTTGAGCTAATATACAGGATGTTCAATTTGAAACAATGTAATTGGAACAGTTTTTATCTCTAGCCGAAAGGTCAGTATTTTCAATACATTCTGTATAATTGGGAACAAATTGCTGTACGCCGTACTCAAGCATAGGGTTTTTCTAATCCAGTACCACAATTTTAAATTTCCAGGTATTCTGAAGGTAGAAATCGCGTTGTAATACAAGATTCCTTGCGGCTACGTTTTGATTAAAAATATATGAATTTTATTTAATATTTCAGAAATCGCTTTAGATAGATATAGGAGTTGTCATGCAAAAATAATAATATTTATATAAACAATCTAACCGTGCAAAAATATACAGGATGTCTCATTTAAAATATCAAAGTTGTATGTACTTTTCGGTATAAGCGGCACCCTCGCAGTGCTGAAAATAATTTAGGCCGATAGAGCATATCCGTTGACTTCGTTGTACAAATTTGCAGATAGATCGGGCATCGCATTCTCCTTAAACGTCTAATACGCCATCGACCGTGAATCACCCTGTATATTATATCGGGTAAATATCAACTTGGAATATTTTGCGGCCATTTTTGCATCTCATTTCATAATTTCAACTTCAGTGTTTTTCGAATGCTATTCTGACAGTGAGAAATTCAGCAGAATTATTACCCTATAGGAAGTTGTTAAAAAGGGAACGTTCCTCGGATTTGTGTAACATGCCATGTTGCTCGCCTATTAAATTTTCATTCTAACAGGGGTGAATTATCGTCGGTTACGTCTTTATCGGAATAACAAGTTCACACGCCAGAGGAGCGAAGCGGTTTGAAATTATTCTCCAATTTGGTGGTTCTACATAAAATGCCCAATAAGAACTAACTGATTGCCTCGAGGGGCAGTTTAGGGTTTCCGTAAGACGTCTATTAACCGGCTACAGTATTCTCGGCTGTGCTATTTTCGCAAACCACAGTAACGTTTTCCACTTTATACTGTCAAGGGAGTAAAAATTAACGTGGTATACATGTTCGTGCTGACGCATTCACCTTTGACTGGTGTGCCTGAATTGATAATTTTCCCACAAGAGCTCGGTTATCACATTATAATAGTACTATCAATATCTTTGCTTATAGGATTATTTTTTTGCACCGTAAAAATTTACAACAATTAAACAAATTATCATAAAAGAAGAATCCAAGAAATGATACAAATAAAAAACATGCAAAAGCAGTAAATTTCAGATCAGATACCGACAAACTTAGCAACATTTACCAAACCCTAATAAAGCCATAAGTATGGAACACCCGGTACACTAGTAAAAAATTAAAACTATTTCTGCTTATCTCAATACATGCATACCACTCTCGTAAATGTAGAAAATAATTCAAGCAAACTCAAGGTTTTCAAGAAGGCAAAGACCTAAAAGGACGTAGATTTTTACCAGTCATGAGGTAAGTTTTTCCGGTGTTTTACCCCCTCCCAAAAGAAATAATTTTTTTCCTCAAAAACTGATGAATGTTTTAACACTTTGTAAATTATAATTTGTATACAAAATGTTTTAATTGTGAATTGGTGTTTGTAGTTTGTGTAAATTTTAAATGTGATGTTGGCGTTGTTGTCTCGCCGAAGCGTAATGAAATAAACGATGTTTCAACATTTTTACTTCACACTTTGACTGAGACCCAGGAAAGATAGGAATATCATAGCAAGTACACGCAGTCAGAAAAATACATGAGAATAAAGTACCGTAAAAAGATATGATTTGATGTTTACAGTTAGAAAAACTTTTCTTTCATACACATGCTCTTACTGATTAATATCCTGACTCTTAATTGCAATACTAGCTAACAATCCGGACAGAAATTCTTAGGGAATATCAATTGTCACGTCTATAAGGTGCATGTTGTTGAGAAACGTTGAGACTATAGAATGTTGCAATTGCCTGGAAACATTATCGCCCAATATGACCATTTCTCATATAATAGAGCTTTTCAGAAGACACATTTTATTCAAGTGACATACAGATGTACTTATAGATTGTTGCTCAACACCACAGGTATAAAGTAGAAAACACATACTAGACATAGAAGAGGGGCCGTGCATGCTCGCATTATGTACAACACGATTGAACTACATCTTTCCATAATTTGCAAACAACAGCTTAATTCTCGTCGATGCTTTTGCCTTCTGGGAATTTGAGTTAAGAGTATTTTTTCTAGATGCCGCTGTACCAGTTTCAAGCCTGGGGGTCCATTGATCTAAAGGGAAGGAGGATCGCGAGGAGTGACGACCTCGGTAAAAAAAAACCAGTACCCTGTGAGTAAGGGCTCCTGCCTAGGATCACAGGTAAAGAAGCTGCTGTCTTGTAGTTACGGCGTTGGAATAGTCAAAGGCTAGGGGAAGAAAACCCCGATCCAAAATTACCTGGTCCTGCAGGCTGGGGGATGGGACATCTTAATTCAATCAGCTCTGGCACTCGGAAAAAAACATAATGTATAAAAACTTAATCAAACGCCTCAGAATACCAAGAAAAATCCAAGAAGGCGACCCAAGGAACGAAAAAAGACAGTAATTTTTGGTACATGGATCGTGCAAGGAATGGGTCGAAATATCAACGAAATAGTTTACGAAATCAGCAGAGTCAAGGTGGACCTCGCGGTACTATCAGAAACAAACAGAAAAGGAAAGGAAAAGAATGTGAAAATCTGCGATAATACGACCATTTCTGGAGCGGAGTTCAAAAGGAAAAACATGTACAACAAGGAGTGTCCAGTTTGCTGAACAAAAAATTTGGACAATTTGTTACCAACTGGAAAGCTATGAAAGAACGGCTGATAAAAATGAATATAACACTTAAAGTTATAAGTTAGACTAACGATTTTTGGAATATATGCCATAAACGATGTAGACATTCTTCCAACAAACTTACAACCAAATAGCAACAGGCAGCACTTCTAGAGAAATAGTTATATATGAAGACATAAACAGCAGAACAGGTAAAAAGTTGAACGATCTGACGGTAGGCCGATTCGCATAAGATATTGTTAACACAACGGACACCCACAAGTGGTAACTACTATTTTTTGAAAGCCAAAATAATATTACCTAATCAAAGCCAAAACATTCACTAACAGGAGCTGGAGGGCACAGGGATAGACGAAATTGATCACTGTAGATTCAACATGGTAAGCCTACAGCATGACAGCAACAAAAACGACTTGACGAAAAACTCGAGGCACGTTCAGGCAAAACCTCAAATGAAGAGTATGATTGCATTACATTAAGCATTTATCAAGCGAAAAAGAAGCACTAGGTTTAGTGGAAGAAAATTCTAAGTGGAGAAAACCATATTGTTGAGATGCTGAAATCGAGAGTGAAATAGAGGAAAAGAGAAAACTGGCGTTAACTGGTAAATATCAGACCAAGAATTGGATGCACACTTAAAAAAAAAGAAATAAATGATGCCTTAGGATCGATAGTATCTCCAATGCCGTTAACACTTCCCGAAATTAAAAACGTACGCACAGTCTTAAAAAGCGGAAAATATGCGAGAGCCGGAAATATCTTGGCTAAACTTATTAAATACGGTACTGACAAACTGTTTATGAAAGTACGAAATATTTTCCAAAAATATCTTAACGGATTCAAAGTCCCAAACGAGTGGAAAACATCATATATATCCACAGTTCACAAAAAAGGAAGGAAAGATATGTGCGACAATTATAGAGGCATATCTGTGACTGGTACGCTGAGCAAAATCTACGGCAAAATTATAAGAAATAAAATGTAAAATGATTACAAAGACATGGAGACAGAAGAACAGGCCGGATTCAAGGCAGGTAGATCATCTGTTCCGTATAACCCAAGTTATCGAAAATAAAATTTCATATTGACAAGAGTGGCATTTATTATATGTAAACTTACAAAAAGCAAACGACAGCGTACCACTTCATTTACTTTGGAAGGCTCTGGCATATACAAACATTACCGTTCAGTTCATTAAAGCAATTAAAGGGTTGTCCAACTATAGTAAAGAAAAAGTGAAAATAAAACAAAGGCTTACAAAAGGGTATTAAGTGAATAAAATTCTTAAACAAAGTTGCGGTATGCAACGCTCTTCAAGATTTATTTAGAACAAGTCCTTAAAGTATTGAAAGGAAAATACCAAAACATGGGAATTCCATTAAATGAAACCATTTGATACACTTTGTTTCGTAGACGATCAAATTGTAGGAGCCCAGGAGTATGATAACATGGAATATATGACTCGAACACTGATCTAGCCTTAAAACAGGACAGCGAATTAAGTCTTGTGGCAAGTATAAATACTTATGGCTAAAATCAACACTAGACAGAGCTATAAAAACCAAAATGCACAAGGAAGAAAACTTTAATAACTTGCGATAACTTTAATAAATGAAATACTCTGAGACCAGAGTATATATACATGTGGTCTATTAGCTTATAAGGACATGATTACTCTTAATCTATCCTTTGCACATAATACACAAGGATTACGAAAAGCTCCTTGGATATAGAAAATAGGAACCAACGTTCCCTTTTAGACATCGTGGTATATAGGTTGATTCAAATTTGGCGTCATTCCTTTTAAGGGGTAATAGGGACTCACTTAGAAAGGCAGAAATTTCAAAATGTGCATATTTTTGAGTCTACTATTGCAAAGTTCTTCTGTCCTACATTATATTTATTATCTCTAATAAATTTCAGGTATTTATTTAAAGTTAAAAACTGCAAATTAAATTAGATATCTGTCTATATATTTACCTTAAAAAAATCATAATTTTTGGGATAGCGTGTCAGCTCCCAAGCGGCACCCGCAGTTGATTACTCAAGAAGTAAGAGCAATAAAGTTATTTTAGCGATTTCCTCGTCGCATCACAATTAACTCTTTGCGAAAAATTGCCGTTCCAAGTTGCAAATCTACTCAAGTGCATTCGAATAGCCTCGAGTAAAATTTAAATCGGATAGAGGAAACGATGTTATTTTACCGTAAAGTAGCGTATATTTGGAAACAAAGTTTAAGAAAGAAGTCCATGTAATGATCATAAATTTCTGCTTAAAACATCTTGACGGAGACTTTCACGGCACCGCTCAAACCTACATTTATAATAGATCCACGTTCAAGATAAAGTAGTTAAGTTAAAAATAATATCAACAAAGTTTCAGATTCAATAGAAGTTTCTCCCATTTTCTTGCAGTTCATTTCAAGATATTTTCGGTTATTATACGAAAAGCGTTATTAGCAGGTAACTTTGAAAGAACCTTGCTTTTGCAGTATTGGCTAAGTTTCAAACCTATTGGCGGCATTAAATTTATAACTAAAAATTAATTAATAAATTTAAATATATCTGGCCAATGGTGGCTCCTGTAAATAAAAATGTTGAATTTAGTAATAAAAGATAGAATTGATAAAAAAATAGAGTATAATCGGAAATTATTGTTGAGGACTCTGGTGAAAATAGAGCAGAAAACTTAACACAGAACCCAAAGCAGAACAAGCTGTTTGAAGCAGAATAACAACAGTATATTATTATCGTGATTGAACAACTACTAACACCAAAAACATGAGAAGTTGCCGAATTTACGAGTCCATCGAGTATATTTCTCCTCACTATAATTTCTATAATTTTAGTGTCAAATGTCTCTCTCATTTGCAGTGTTGTTTTGTCGAATATTTTGTTTGTGAAATCATACAGACACACCCATAAACGTGAATAAAAGTATCTTGATATAGTACAAGTAAATTCCCGAACAGAGCGATTTTGACTGAGCAGCGACTTAAAGACGACTTGTCACGTCACTTGTCATTGTCGTCGTTACAAATGTTCCACTTGTGTGAATCCTATTCAGCACCTGTTGGAAGAACATAATAATTGAATAATTTTAATCAATCTGAACTTTTTCTCAAAATATTTTTTTCAATTAGCAACCATTAAAACGAGGACTTGATGCAAAATAATAACAAATATATAGAACGCTCTGGATACCTCAAATGCAATAAACCATACAGAAGGTTACTCTATATAGCTTAAGAAAAACATACAGGGCTATTGAAAAGTGGCGCATTCCTCTGGAGTTGTTGTCTGGGGATGTTTTAGCAGTACAGGAAAATCCCCAAACAGCATTAGAATCCAGTACAATCCACCATTTTGTATTTCTACTTTACCCTGTATGGGTTTTCACAATGAATATAATATTTTTGGTATGGCTTTTGCTTTCAGCGCCATTTTTATTTCATTCGGAAATATTCTACAACAAACATGCCTAAAGTAAACCTCAAAAACCATAGACGTGCAGCAGACACGCAGCGATCATTAATTCTGTTCAGTCATGACAGTATGTAGTACAGTAACCTGTAACCAAGATAATTTGTTAAATGTAGAAATTTCGTCACCTAAATCAAACTCAACAAATAGGTATAATATTGAAGCAAACATACATAATAATCCTTCGACAAGTAATGATATTTTAAGCGAATTTTCTGAAGGCGATGTTGAGAATTCTGACTCGCAGGCATTTACAGAAAGTTAATCTTACTGATTTAATGTTAATAGTGCTGTGAGGGAAATATTTTGTAATAAAATTGAATTTGAATGTATGTTTTTTTAGGTAAACCACCTAGTAAAAATTGGCGAAAGTACGCCATAAGAGCTTGCTAAGCGCTGCATAACTAATTTAGTAACAAATGGTTTGGCTCAAAAATATACATTTTTTGGATCTCAAATAAAATCTGCTCTCCTCCAATTTAAGTTTTGGGACTAATTGAATGGTAAGTTGATTATTTATTCAGTCATTTTGTAACTGTAGGGTGTACTTGCAATCGATTTTCTGAAGCCTTTATTTAAATTTTGTAATATTGCTCATTTATGCAAATTGCAATATTTTTGTTGATGCTAAGCTTTATTACGTTTTTAGCTGCAATCGTTCGTCAAAATTCTGAGGTCACGACGAAAGTGACCGAAAAAAACGTTCAGAATTGGTTAAGGCGAGCGAATGAGCGCCTAAAATTTTGACGGCAATCGACTAATTCCTTGTGGTTTTGTTACTGGTTTTTCGTAGATCAAATTATTTTATTTTATTTAAGTAATATTTAAAATAAATTTC